CCTCAGCTGCTCCAAGGATGCTGCAGTCGGTTGTTGTCTGCTGTCCACCAGTTGAGATGGTCAAGGGTACCCACTCAACATCTCCAAGGAAGCTGCCGTTCGCCTGCCGGGTCGCAACTCCACTCCACAATGGTCCAATAGCTGTCCAGTACTGCCAGTTCACACACAGGGGTCGCTATTGGGCAGCCCCCCAACCAGGCCCCCCTCCAGGGGTCGCTATTGCACAGCCCCCCTGGCCACAGGACCCTCCAGGGGTCGCTATTCCACACCCCCGGCACCCAGGGGTCGCTACTCGCCGCCCCCCGTCCACCGGGTCGCTATTCCGCGTCCCCCTGGTCGGCTGTACACAGCGCGGGTCGCTTCCCGCCGCTTCCTGCGGTCACGTCACGCGGTGGCAGGGTCCAGTCACCCCCTGCGTAGTCCGCGTCGGTGTCGGGCTGCCGCTCGTTCCTGCACTGCCCCCTCCGGGGTCCTGGCGCTCCCCGCCGCCGGATCCAATGGCCTCCGTGGCCGATTGCGCCTCCCCGCCGTCGGGGCCGGTCGCCCCCGGTCCGCGCTTCACCCCGCCGGTCACAGCTCGCGGGATGCGCGGCAATGCACCGCCCCCCGCCGCCAACCGCGGAGATCTCGCGGGGTAATGCTCTCCCCCACGCACAACCGGATCCTTCGCACAAACAGCAAAAACATGCGCCTCCCCCCACGGGGCCTGGCGCGCGGACTCCTTCCTGGCCGATTCAGGCCCCTCACGGGGTGCCTGGCCGGCCGATGTTCCTCCGATCTCCCGGATGGGAGCCCCCCTCCGACGGGATGGGGCCCCCCTTTTGCTCTCGCGCCGCGTGGCGCGCTTCCGCCGTCCGCACCCGCCGGCTCCGAAACCACCTGGCGTGGTTTTCGGTTCGATGCGGGCGATGGCGCCCGCCGAGACGCCCAATGAGGCCGCGGGGCCTCCTCCGCCGGATTGCCGGTGGGCTTTCCGGGGCGCTCGTGTCTTCGGGTACGCAGCGTGGGCCCAGGCCGCAGGGATGGCCGGGCGCGGGGCGGCTGTGCGCGCGGTGGGTGCGCGGCGCCGTGCGGCTCGTGGGTGCAGCCGCTGGGAGGCGCGAGACAGGGGAAACAATGGTTACAGTACTGCGTCTGGTGGTCACCCTTTTGGGGCGGCCACCAACGCGTGTCACGTGACAATGCAGCACACCGTATCGTATCATGTCCAGCAATAGTATCTCATCCCCCAATACGGTCCAGGAGAGGGCCCTAAAGTACTGGATATTCAACTAGCCATATCTCCTCAACCACTAAGCCAATTGGGGTGGTTAAAAAACCTATGGACTCCCAACAGAGTCTACTTTCCCATGAGATACCTTAACCACTGTCCATTCCACTTCCCAGCTCCCATATAGAGAAACATTAACAACCCCCTGTAGTTTACACCACAGTACATTACACGAAATGTCAAAAGGGCGGTCTCCCGTACGGGTACAAAACCACAAAGTACTGTTAGCAGCCGCACCCAACGTCCCATCACGCCTCACTGGACCCCTATACCCTGGCAGTACCTGTCCCGTCAAGGTCCTAGGACCTTTTGCAATAGTTCAGGTCCATCCAAGGACACCCCCTACGGTTCATGGTCTCCTCAAAAGGGGTCAGGAATTGGCCGTTTTTCCCTCTGAAAGTCATTCAAAAGGCTCTTACAAACCGGCCAACCTCTCACTCAGGGTCCTTCACCACACGCCTTGCACACACCGTGCCTCTTTTTCCCCGGCTAATAGTACTAGACAATCTACCATAATCGCATACTAAACCCAATTCTGTACACCCAAATTCCATCACCGTCAAACTGTATTGTATCCCGTCAGCATGCGGATCCAGCTGACTAGTTTTCGCCCTTTTCCTTGACCAGTTCACAGCCCAGTCACAGCCGTCCGTGCTGCCCGTAGAGTGCTCTTCAATTGACGTCATTGGTGCTCATTCTGGACGGTTCTGATGAGCGGCATTGCAAAACAGCGAGATGGAGGATATCTCAGCTGTAAATGCGTCGATTCATGTGCACTGGAGAGAAGCTGAGCGTGCACACGTTTGCCTTGAGCATTCAGCAGCTGCAGGACCGCCAAATGTAACCGTATGTCATGCGGTTCAAGGTAGCTTCTTCTGAGCACATTGGCTGTTCTCCTCTCTACGGTTTTCTCTCGATTACAGTGGTGGTCATCTACTTGAGCAGAATGGACTGTAATCGAATAGGGGACAGTGCACGAGCGCCGCCGTCGTTTGCTGGAAAATCGTAGTGTTCGCAACAGCGCATAATGACCACCGTTTCACTGGGTGGATCACTTATGCATTATGGTGTGCGACTTGTACGCACTTCAAGAATATTGTTTGTATGCAAGGCATTCTGAATTTATACAAAGGAAAGAAAATTGTGTTTTAAAACTCACAGAATTATTTCTCATGTGATGGGACTTTTGTGAGCATCAATTTGAATGTTGTGGGAGATGCCATCCGTTTCAGAAATAAATGTCATGTTGGGGTCGCGCTCACAACTGAAATATTTCTACATTGCCATTGAGTGTATGGGCACCTTTAGTTTATGTGTTACAGAGTGGGTTGTATTGTGGCGATGAGTGGGCATCTCTGAAGCGTGGTATGGCCGGTTGGTGATGGATGATGGTCCTTGTCATGTGAAAAGGAAAATTCTGTGGGTGCAAGGAGATTCGAACTGTTCGGTTGTGGGGGTCGTTGCCACCATCGGCAAGGCTCTTCGCTGTGGGAAGGGTGAACAAATATGTAAGCCCTGAGCATTTTGTGTGTGGCGTGGCCTTGCGTCTGGCCATGTGCCAACGCCGTTGAAGCATCAGCGATCGTGGACTCGTGCTTCCCGTATGCACTCCAAAGGGGGCCGTTTGAATCGCATCAACGGCTTTTCCTTTAAGAGTAGCCTTTCTTGAGGGCTTGGTTTTGCACCAAATTTGGGTCCCGGGATGGTACATTACGTGTCGCCATCTTCTGCTGAAAAATCGCGGTCTTTGAGGGTTTGGTTTGAACCAAGTATGGGGTCAAGGTTGCGCTGACAGCCATGGAAACGTGGTTTTCAGTGCAGGGGGCTTGGGTGCGGCGCTTTCGTGAGGGAGGGGGGCCTGCGTGACCATGGCATGAACAACTGGGAGAATATACTACTCCCCGTTCTTGTTTGCTGAGATTTGGTTCTTGTTCCGCTGACAAGGCCAGTCCTGGTGCGTGGATCAGTAGTTGGGGTTTAGGGTGTCCGAGAACAAGAACCGAATCTTAGCAAACAAGAACGGGGAGTAATTTTATGCCAACAACTGGGGCGTTTGTCTGGCTGGTGTTTACAGCGCTGACCGAAACTATCGCTGACACAAACAATCAGCAAGCGGGTTGAACATCGGGCGCGATTGCTCTCCACCTGATCGCTTTGACAGTCTGCATTGCATCTGCATGGGGCAAGTGGGATGTGCGGGTGGAATCCCATCTCTCTCCGAAAGGGCCCCACTACTTGCCAACAATTGTGATGGTTTCCAAGTAGCCCTCGATTGACGATGGGTGGGTGGATGGGAGGCCAATCTCCAGGCGCGAGTAACGACCCTAAGGGGGCGGTGGCTTCTTAGTCTCCCTGTCCATTCCCAAGGTAGTCGTTTCCATATTTGATGGATCCGTCCATCCCTGGATGGACCGATGGACGCCAGGATGTTTGGAACATGAAGGCTTACACCCAAGCATAAACTCGCTTTCGCAGTGTGTCAGTGGCTCAGCAACATCCCTCCAAGCCTCTCTGCTCCCATGCATTTCTGAAATTATTTCTTGGGGTCAACGCAACGGCTGGTATTGATCTCCTATGACGTCTCTCCGCAAGCTTGCGTCTCCCTTTCACATTGCTGCAAGCAACGTGCAAAGGGCACATGCCCAGTCTTCAGCCGCTGCACAGCTGGTCGGCACATTACTGCCGTTCTCTTTGGCAAAACTGCAATCAACCATGACTCAAACAAGCAAGGGTCCCCACACTGAAAACTGTCGTTATGGCTTCAATGCTGTGAGAAATTGACCAATGATTAATAACCATATAATTAATCATGAATAACATAATGAATCGAATAAAATGTAATGAATAAGATAAAATAATGACAATGTATATAGAAAAGAGAAAAAGAAAAAAATAATGAACCAATGCCGTTGGTTGTTCCAGAATTGATCTAGCATTAAATGCAGCCGCTTCTGCCACCCACCCGATCACAAGCTACGTCGTAGCAATTCGCCGTGCCATGCTACAAACGTGCACCGCACTCCTCAACAACCGGGTATGAAACTCGTTACATAATCCAAACGAATAATGTTTTTCCGGCTAAAAAATGATGAGCGCGTCGCGCTTGCCACTGTGCCAACCAACCCCAGCACCTGTTGCAGAGCCAATGGGTATCGGTCTGCGCCGCCCGCTTGCCAAAGCTCAAGTTTCTATTTCACAAGTTCGTGTGTCCTTTTTTGATTCCATCTTTAAGTTCGCCGAGAGTTTGCCAAGACGCGTTCAGACTCCCCATTGCGCATCGAGGTCGACATGCCAAATCCCCAAAAACAAAAGCAGAAGGAAAAAGGAAGCAATGAAGGTGTCCAGATTTCCGTCAGACGAAGGCATCTGCACTGAAAGGTAGCAGTTTTCATGTTCCACCGTGTTTCAAGCCCCCCACGGAGTCCCCCCAGGCAGGGACAGGAGGGCAAACTGTGGGTACAGTTGAGTAAGCTTCGATTTTCCTGAAACGTGCGAGCAGGAGCCTCCTGGAGGCTCCGGCACGAAACGCCCTATTGAGAATAGCGTCGATGAACTATGTCGCTCCCAGCCTCGCCTACCATGAGGAGATCCCAGTGCCCCATGCGTCCTTTAACCTACCGTGTTTTCAGCGTCAAAAATGTCAATCGCACTCAGAAGAACTCACGCTGACCAGAATATCCTATTTCTACACACCCTATCGATAACCGTCCCAATATCGGAGCCTTTTCGATTAAGTGTTCATCCTGTTGAAAACGGCATCCATACACTCGCTCAGCTGAACGACAGTTATGCCAGGTTGCCCCTCCCTCCCCAGACCAAAGTCGTTGTCGTCCGCCATGGCCACCACGCAGCTGTTCAACACCGCCACCCCCTCCATCTTGTCGCTGCTGTCCCAGTTCTGCACCAAGGAGCATGAGTGAGGAATCCATGGAGCACTAGTCAATATACTTGCGTTTAAAATCCTTTCAGAAAAGGTGCCGCAAGAACGCATTGCAGAGCACTGAGCCTTGCAGCACTTTTCATCAGAAGAGGCTTGTGCACAATGATGGGGCACAAGATGAAGTCCGTCACGGATATCCGCCCGCTTTGTCATTCCCAAGACATGGGCACGGGCTGTTCGTGGCGACGCATTGGAGCTGATAAAACGGATGTTGGGGCCGCAAAAACGTACAGCGGATCCACCGTTGCCTAGTTATGCCGCATTCCTGAGCTGCAGTTCCACACTCATCTTCGGATACGTCACTTTCACAACTGAGATCTGATCATTGCTATCTGCACAAGACATGAATCGCCCAACACGTAGTCCTCGAAATACATCCTGGACAACAGACATGCCGCGTAGTTCGACTAGAGCCTGTTAACTAAATATGGGAAAGAATCTTTGGTTTTATGCACTGGCGTGGCCCATACAGGGCAACAAATAGCATCAACGCTGCAGGTGCATCTTCAGCTTCAACATTCCATTTAATCGCGAGTAGTCGGACTCTTTGTGCAAACATATGTATGAAAACAGAATGTTACAACAGATTTCATCAGAAGTACCTCTATACGTAGAAAAATGAACATCAGCACTTTTAGCAGAAGGGCATCGAAGCACAATGTAGAAGGACAATGTCCTGTATCGTCGTGGTACTGTACCAGCGAGCAACGAATTTACAGAGTTTGAACTGGTTGGGTTTGAGGGTATACATGTTCAGCATCCGTAAAAAAAATGGTTGAAAAAAGGCTTCAAAGGCAGTGTTTTTGTGACAGTGAAAAAGATAGCCAACAGCGGAGGACAGCTGGAGGAGCCGATTGCGTTGGCGTGGCGTCGGCGCACCTCGATGAAGGGGTCCTTCTCAACGTCGCCGGTGTCGAGAAAAAGCGCTTTGCGAGCGGGTTCCACGCCAAGTTCTCGCAACTTCTTCAAGGATTTGTCATGCAGACCTTAAGAGGACACGGTGGGGTTCAGATACAAGATTGATCATATTCTCATCTATTTCGCATGATTCGCAATTTTGAGCGACTGGATGGTATCACCGTTTTCCAGAAATGCATTCTGATGCACAGGAATGCCAAAGCCCTTGCTAGCCAGACTTTAACCATCTGAATCTCATATGGTATGTCTATAAGGCATTAGTGTACCATGCTCATTGAAAGTGTTACGCGTTGAAAACACTTAACACAAACATGGCAAGCTTGTGAGAAATCTGAACATCACACACGCAGAGATGCCAACATTGTCAGTGTTACCAGGCATGAAGTGTTGCACGGCATAGAGCTATGTCCAACTTTTTCACAGAGTGTGGTGCTGCTGTGCCAATTGCTGTCAGTTGACAGTACATCAGCTACACTGCATTGTGCTTCAAGCCACCAAGCGTAGATGCCAATGTGCTGAACGTGCGGCAATCGTCTGATAAACATGCATATTCACACTGGCTGTTCCCAGCTAGTTTGAGCAAACTCGGTGGGAACAGCCATGTAAACAACAGTTGGAACATGTAGAAGCCAAAGGTGTCAAGTAATCATGAATCGCAGCAACGCATTCTTGAATGTTGCAGAAAAGTCAATGAATACTGGTAAATATTGTAACTTCTTGCAGCCGATCTGTCGGCAAGGCTATCAGACCACGCGGCTCATTATTGGTGGGATTTGCACCGTATATAGATGTGTCCCCTGCAAAAACTACGCAGTTTATGCAAAACCGCCTTGGAACTGTCAACCAAACTTCTCAACTTGTCTAATTGAAGGATGGCGGTCCATTTGGGATCCAAGATCCACCCAAACCCACTGCACCCATACCAAGCTTGTCGAAGGCGAGGTCCCCAGTGAGACTGTTTTCCTTGATGTCGGAGGCAACGGTGAAATCAGCGAGGAAGAATTTAATCTGATCCGCGAAGCAAGGATGTCTCAGCGTCAGAGAGCGCATGAAATGTACATCTGAATTGAGTCTGCTCATCGAATCTCACGAGTTTTAGCATCCTTCCGCCAATATTATGTGTGTATTCCTGCTGAGCGATTTTGCAACCCCGATTTTGCTTCGCACATGTGCGCAGATCTGTAGAGCATTACTGAGCTCCCTGCATTTTCGAGATGCGCTAACATGGCACAACGGTGGGGAGCAAATACTAGACGGCGAGCGGTGTTGATTCCTTGCACTGCCATCAGACAACATTACTGTTTTCTGTACATCACACAATGGTGAATGCGTGTATGCATCAAGGACGCCACAGCAATTTCCCGATAGCACTGGGACCATACAAAGACCCACTCTGCATCAACTCTGGAACATCCTTCCTCCACCAATAATTCACCAAGCAATGAGGACGCCCGTCGCAGCAGAGGATTGCAACTTTAGTCACGTTTAGGGAACGTACTGCGCCACCAATGGCGCCCATTGATTGTACAAACTGCTCGGCAAACTACCAATAAATGACCTGCAATCCTATTAACACTGCACAATGCTGCCCGCGCTCGAAATCATACCTGATTTGGCCTCCTTTCGATCACGACCAGAACGTCGTGGTCCGTGCCAGCGAATTGGGACGCCCACGTGGCAGAGCTGATCTTCGTGTCCTGAGGTTTCCTCTTGTCGAACCAGTTTAGAAAGTTCTCCACTACATAGAGGTAATGGGCTGCGACTATGGCGTTGCCGGGATCTGTGATGTCCATCTTGACCGCGTGGATGACGTGAGAAGTCGCGAAAGGCGACCACTTGTCGTCGTCGCCTAGCGGGCTCTGCGGAATGGCGGAAACTCGAGGATGAGCATAGCAGTTGATTGTGAAAATTTGAGTGCGGTTTTGCTACCAATGCCCGAGGAAACAGGTACCTATGACTGATCTATGTTTGGGTGTTTTAAGTCAAAAGGGATGGATTGTTGCCTTAACTAATGTGTCTTGTGGGACAGGGGAACAATTCCAACAGGAACGGGACATGCATTTTGACAATTGGGCACCCGTGAGGCAGCAATGTGTACATTGAGTTAAGTTCTGGATTTCAGTCACGATGATTCTGAAAATGCCGAAATGGCAGTCAAATAGAGATACATGAATAAAAATTGGACTGTCTCGCATTTCAGGAAACGAAAGGTATTTTTTGAGCAAATTTTACTGCGTAGTGTATATAAGCAGTTAACCACTTCAATAGTTGCGAATTTGTAAGCTCCAATTTGCGAAATTCTAAGCGTCTGGCGCATGATCAGATCTTGTAAGCTCACTGTGCACCTGAAGGAGGAGAATCGCGGTTTTCCCGTCTGGCGACACGGCGGCGCTCTCGAATCCTCTACCCTTGCGGCGATGAAGGAAAGCCCCGGGAAGGATGGACCGAACCTGTCGCATCAAACCACGGTGCGAAGATATGTCAGCCCGGGCAACGCAACAAAGATCAGCGGAGCAGTACAAGTGCCAGACCCTATGAAGATGTCCACATCTGCCAAAACCACGCCGAAGCTGCTGCGGAAGCCTGCTAACGTCAGCAGAAGACGGTTTTCTTCGATGTCCACTGCGATGCCTTCGACTCCAACTGTTGCCATCAAACCTACTTGTGTGCCTCTAGGATCACTCTAATAGAGCAACTTTGTGTCAAAACGGCATTTAATTTGGCATTGAAAACGGCGTCTTCCGACAATGTGATTGGTGTGCTGCTAATGACCACGCTGACCACCAGAACTCACAGATCGGTAGTTCGTTATGCAAGAGGAGCAGCACCAGATCATGCAATCTCAACTTGGACATCGAAGCCGCAGCCTGTAATTACAGGGTTATTGCACTTAGCCATCGAAGGCGCACCCTGTAATTACAGGGCAATTACACTTATAAGCGTCCGCGGCATCACGTTCGCCACGTGCCTCGACATGCAGGCTCAAAAAATCCGCGCGCACGTCCGCAAAATGAAAAATGTTTGGAAACCCCTCCGTACAGTTTCGCCAAAAATAGGTGCTCGTGTTTGGAAAATGAAAAATGTTAAGACAAAAGCGGGGAAGGAGGCGCGGCTCACGTTGTACGACGCCCCTGGAAGCTCCAGCCCCTCGGGTATGTAGCGTGTCAGGACCGTCCCGCATTCCTTGGTGCCGAATTCACAGTTGAATATGACCATGGACGGACTGTACTCATCCCCGGCCAGGCACAGGTTCGTGCCGGGGATCTTCTGCACTTCTTCAGTGTCGAGGCCATTCACCGACCTGTTCAGTTGCACCTGTGCGGAGGAAAGGAACAAGGTAAATAGCAGTGCTTGTCTTGCTGCTTTTCTGACGGCTGTACCGTTTTAGCACGAATATTGCCCAAATACAATCTTCATCCATACACACCACAGGTATTTTTTCGGGTAGTAGTGTGCGTGCTAACTAATGTCAACTACCACCAAGGAGGTCTGGACTTGCTGAGGCGGTCTTAGCGGGCCTGAATGTGACTGTGTTCACAGGCAATGCGAGAACCAATAACGCAATGCCATGGTGTCGAATTGCCGCCAGATTGGCCCGAAAGTTTGTTAGGAGGCTCAAATCCCTCATCCTCCTTGGGGGATTCAGCGCACAGTCCGCCCGCGAGCGCCCTTTAAAAAATACTAATGGCAACACAGCCAGACGAGAAAAGAACGCGTGAATAAGAAATGACATCAAACTGCGACAGCTGCTGCAGGGTGGCGCAGTACCCGCAACTCTTCCATAAAATGGGGATTGCACCTGACCTTCCGGAAATATACTGCAACAAAATGAAATAACTGAATAAAATGCACCGTAGCACAAGAGCAACAACAAATGGCGCCCACCTCGCAGTCTCCCCCCGTGAAGGGGCTGTCGTCGTTATCCGTGTTGGGCAGCCCGTTGAGAGGCTCGCCGTCACTCCCCTTCAGAAAGCAGTGGTGCTCCAGTAGCACCCCGTGCGTCTGGTCGACCCTGAACTTCGACACAACCGGCGCGAAGGCCGGCACGACGTAGTCCTTGTGCGAAATGTGGTCGGGCGTGCCCCTGGGCTCTTTGCACGCATTCGCAGGGCCGCCGTCCATCACTCCCAAGAAACGTATTCCGTCTTCCGCGGTGAGATTAAAGATGCCCAAACCCGAAAACCAAGATGGGACATCCGCACACACATCTCCCTTGCTGCGGTCGTCGCACTCTGAGCCGCTCTTGGTGTACTTTAGGTCCTCGTCGGTCAGGAAGGGGTTGACGGTCCTGAGGCCCTGGAAGTCGGCGTGGGGGGCCACTAGCCAGTGGCCGAGCACGGTGGCCTTTTCGGCGGGATCTTGGGGAAGATCGGACTGCCTTAAGTACTGGGCCAGGGAAGAGGGGAGGCAGGCGAGGAGGATGGCGGCCAGAAGGGCGTGGTTCAAGTTGCGGAGATACGGTATCATGGTGGCGGCGACGGCTGGGAAATGAGGGAGAGGACACAGAGTCAGGATTGCGAGATTCTTTCGCGATTCCGGGATTGGAAGTCCGTGCCCGGAATATATCGCGTTTGAAGGCGGGTCGAAACAAAATGACAGGGGCGCGTTGCAATATGGTGGCGGCCCTCCTGTGCAAGAGCGTCTGCAAAACTTGTAAGAATAGCCAACACGGAAATCTCTATGTATGGCCTTTGGGACGATCCTAGTTCATGCCATCGTGCTAACGTCATGTGCAAGTACACATTCGCATTCCGTCTCCATTGTGTTCATGGTGAAAGCCGTGTCATCCGCCACTGTTGCAGGCCTTCCACATTCCTGACGCAGCAATCTCCGCAATTGGAGCGATCTAACCAGGACCAAAATCGTGCGCAAATGGAAAGTGCGCAGCTGATGTTTAAGCAGCGGCTGGATGGTAGCCGGCATGGATAGCTGCGTCGTCAGGTGCGCTCTGAATGGAAGTAAATAATAGACTCAACAGATGGCGACATGGCGCTGCTGATCAGCTGCCCCTTGCGCGCACAGGGCAGCAATCTCTGAGTATTTCTGCGCATCGGCTGCAGCGAGCCGCGACCGGAGCGCTCAAAGTTCCAGCATGCAGTCCATGTGCAAGTCTGCCGACTTTTTGCACCCATTTGACGAAAAATTTGTCATTAATGGGGTGAAACGCGGAGCATTGCGGCACGGCCAACATGGCAATACGGGCACGCGCCAATGTCCACGTTACCATCAGCGCTCGCCAGCGTCCATGCACACACGTTGCTGCCTTCAAACTTCGTTTACAAGCCCCGGTGACAACTGCATCCCCACCGGCGCTGGTTGGATGTAGGGACGTCAAAGCCGCGCTTGCCCCTCCCCATCCCCAACCCCGAGTGACAGTCAGCCAATACTAACAGTTGCTTCAAGCCCGTTTGGTTCACACGTCCCTCTTTCCCACCACACCCCTCCGATCGTCCCATACCTCGCGACTCGCCTGACCCGCTCCGCGAGGCGACAACAACGACGCTTCGGGCCGCTTCAGTCGACCTCAACAACCCTTGGCAACGAGGAGCACAGCGCTTGACACGCAAAGATCACCGCCAGCCCTCTGCGCTTCCCACCACCCCATTCACCCAAGGCAACGCCATGCCATCGCTCCAACGGCACCCCGCGTCAAACGCAATCTGACACGCGCTTCCAATCGGTAGCAATTGCTAGCTGCCGGTCTCATGGGGTGCCCGTCTCGGCGGTTTGTCCCTTCCACAGCGCACCCTGTTGGGACGACACCGCGGACTCGAATTCCCAGAAATCTTCGACGCACGGCGGCCGACCGGCCAAGTGGCCTACCTGACAGGATCAGGTCAAACTGACCCCCACCCCAAACGCGGCTACCTCGTACCGACTGATGCAGCCATCCCGACCAAGAGGCTCCGGCACGCGGCGGCAGAAACTCTGAGGCGCCAACTGCGCCGATCGGCTCTGGATTGCGACTTGTCTCTGGCGCGTCAAGCCACCCAGACGCCAAAAAGAATCCCTCCCGCTTTCTGGGAGGTAACCGCTGAGGGGCCATGATATTGAACGGCGCCACCAGCAAGGGCCATGTACGTTTTCCGCCGACAATGCATCCTGCGCTTCGCCAACCGCTGCCTGCCTATGCGGCGCTTGCGCAACAGACCGGTCGCCAGCGGTCGCCCCTCCCCGCTCCACGTGGATCGCGATTCGGTGAACTTTCGACCAAAATATCCCCTTCCCACCTTCGAGCGGCCGCCGGTGGGCGCGCGCCTTGGAGGCCGCCTGGCCGTTTCACTCCTTGGTGCGCGTTTGTTACTGAGCCGCACTGTACGCCCTGCGCCTCACCGGGGTACAGATTGGAACATTGGGCAAAGATGCCGCAGCGGGCAGCCCCTTGTGGCTCCCCTGCCTGAGTGAGGAGCCGTGTGGAATCGACGCAGTGCATGTCCCATCGCTGTGTCGCTGCGAGGGGCACTTGGGGTTGGAGTGAGATGGAGGGTTGGCCCGTCAAGAGCGCTCGTCCCATCGTTTGATCGTTAGAAGAGTCATCTCTGGGGCCGTTGACGACGAGCAACCCGACAGTGTGATGGCGCTGGAGCCATTTGGAGTGAGGGGGGGGCATCACGGTGCGTGTCAAGCCGCCCAGCCACGGGCGGAGACGAGCAAATGGAGCGCCGTGAGCGCTGCTATTCCAGAAGCATAAGCACATGTTTTGTGCGGTGAGGTGTAATGTGGGGGCGCCTGGCACAGCACCAATTAATCATGCAATGAGTCAGTGGAGGGTGCCGAACGGCCGGGGGAAAACTCTTGAGCACACCGTTATTCCAGAGTTCTTTTCGGCGTTTTGGGGCTAGCCTTGGCAGCATGCATAGGCTGTAGTCTTTGCTACAGTGCTTACGCCGTAAACACAATTCGTATTTACGTTGTTTACGTGCAGAATAATTTTTACGTTATCACCCGTGTAAACATGTAAGATTACGTAAATACAGCCCCGTGTGCATGAGGACAGTACATACAGACGTGGGGAGTATGGAGAGTGGCAGTCAAACGCGCTGGAATGGGTAGGAAATGACATTTGTTCCATGCCGACGCTCTCCTTGCCGAGGGCAAGGTGGACACTGTGTTGCAGGTGCTGGAGATGGCCAAGGACTGATCATTGTACGCAACTTTCATGAAGCAACCTGGTGTCCCAACGAGCCCTAAAAATGCAAAAATAGTCCCTTTCGCAAAATTACTGTGTTGCACATAAAACATATGTGGAAAAACCATAAACACAAACGTAAATACCAAGCCTGGTACTCGCTGCTGGAACTTAGCGCGACCCTCACGGCTGGCGGCGCTATCAATGGATAGCAACTTGCATTTAGTGAGGATTCACTTGTCGCGTGGTAGTTAACGTGGCTGTGTCGATCTTTGTGATTTGAACATTGTCGCTGAATTAATATCTTCTGAATGGTTTGCAAGCGGGGCCCTAATCGACTCCTTTTCGTCAGGCAACGAGAGCACATACTCGAAGGTCTGCACTGGAGATGATCCATTAAAGTTGATCATCCTGATATTGCATCTACGTCTGCCCTTTCCCAGATGAACACCAAGCACGAGTCCTGAGTAGGATTCCTACTTGGTGTTCATCTGGGAAAAGGGGAGAGACTGATGAATGCTGTGGCTGCAATGTCATTGAAAATGGCCAGCAAGGCTTCAGCAATGGCCACTTGTCGATATTGGCAAGCGTTGATTCATATGCCAGGGTTGCTTCGATGCTGATTCATATTGGGCTGTCGTTCCCGTAATCGTCTAGTTCTCACTAATTCGCTCAGAGATCCCCGTTGGGGCTGGTGCACTGCGCGACCGAGAGGGCGGCATAATGAGACGGGCGAAACGCCAAGGTACGGATTTGGATCATGGAGTGAGTGGACACGCTTGGAAAACTTGCCATAGCCGCGCTCCAGCAGCAAGCGGGGAGGCAAACTGTCCAAAGGTACAACTGTTGAAATGCTACCTCCGTTCCAAAAGTCGTGTCCGTTATCCATTCTTGCTATAACTTTGCAAGATCATCTCAATTAACCTATCTATTGCCAGATTCGGATTCCTTGGTCGATTTTGGGTTGATGTGGATCTTGATTACATTAGTCACCACCACATAGCAATACGTACAAACTCCTATCAAAAGCACCCTTGTCCACTTGTGTCAGGACCACAGTTCCCTGCATTTTTGCGTTCACTTTATCCATTCGTGTTCCAACCTATTTCCCCAAAGTTCTTCAAGAACATTGTTGCAGACAACAAATAAGCACTACTGCACCCTTCTAAGAGCTCTGGCATCATATCTTCAACACTCCTTGTGGACCATCTCTTCCACTATTTTGAATAGCGTTTCATAAATTCTCGATTTCAATTATTGGCCCTGTTCGCAATAATTTATGCCATGCTTTTGGTTAGCGTCACAATGAACGGTTTTCCAGACCCTTGCATGTCTGCCAGGTTGACGCTCTTGCCCAGAACAAGGGGTCTCTTGGCCTCTGGCCTCAACATTCGCACAGTACTTGCCAGCAGCGAAAACTGTGCGGCAAGAAACAACATTTCCATTGCGGATTCTGCTCGGAATCTAGCTGCATCTTTTGTGAATACCCAACCACCAAGTCATACATCTCTCCTAGGGGCAGCCCAGCTTGATTCAGCTATTCGAAGGGCAATTCCAGCTGGACATGCACCACTCTAAGTCCCGGCCAAATGAAAAGTGGCGTCTGTGTTCCTCTGGACATATCCCATGAATGGCAGCGATGTTTTCCACGCTTAAGAGCTCTACAGATAGCTATCAACGTGGCGCATCAAATTTGTTTTGGTCATGTTTTCATCTCAAGTTTTGACCTCTAGTTGCGCGATTTGGATAACGGACAAGACTTTTGGAACAGAGATAGTATAATGATTTGCTCCCTTTTCCTGATGCCATCCAGATCCATGGATTCCGTCAACCACATACTGGGAAGATCCCAACCACGCCAAACATCAAGTTCAGCGCACCATCTTCATCATTCTCAGCTATCGTGGCGTCGCCAGACTGGCACAAGAATAGTGTCTCAGATGCATGAAAATTAAGTGCACACCCAAAACATGCAAAGGACACCCCCTACTAAGCAAATGGGTGCGAATCTTCTCCATTCTGTGAGAAGACGATGCAGAGTCTCCAGTGCGACAAGATCTGCAAAAAAAACGACAACCACGAGGAGCAAGACCCCCTCCCCTGCCCTCCCGTTTGGTAAGCGCCACACTACTACCGTACTTCAAGTGTCACAGGCAGTTGGCGTACTTTTCTGTGGCGGGGTGTTTGGGCCTGCTGGTCGGGCAGTGGTCCGCAGTGGGGGTGCTGTGTCCGGCAGGGAGGCCACGAAGGCCCATCAAATAGCTCTTGGGGCGCTGTGGTGTTCGCTTTGGTGGCCGTCCGTGTGCCGGACGCCGCAGCCCTTGTGTCGCACCGCACT